GGTGGTTGGTGGTTGGTTGGTGGTGGGTGGTGGGTGGTGGGTGGTGGGTGGTGGGGTTGGTGGTTGGTTGGTGGTTGGTGGTTGGTTAGTGGTTGGTGGTTGGTGGTTGGTTGGTGGTTGGTGGTTGGTGGTGTTTGGAAGTGGGTGGTTGAATTGGATGAGGCTTGTGAGTTGGTTGGGTTGGGGCGTTGGTTTTGGTGGGTGTGGAAGTGATGGAAGTGCTTGGCTGGTGGGTTGACGTGAGTTGACTTGGCTCTTTAGGAAGAGGGTGGTTTGACGTGGTCTGGCTGGTGATGTAAGCTCGATTGCCCAAACGGAAAAACCACCCAGACCACGATCGCAGCAGATCGCCCAAGCTAGTTTGCTCCCGGAAAACCATGTAAGCTCACACATTGGTCGAGGCCCCTTGTACTTGGTGGCCTGTGCAGTGAACAGCACCTTGTACGAGAATGAAGACTTCAAGAACTTCACCGCAGGCGAGCGAAAGGGGCGAGAGAAACGGAGAGCGCTGCGGCACAAAGGCCGCGCACGGTGTGCGAGGTACGGGAGCTGGTGGTCGGGAGCGACGCCGAGCGACGCCAGGGACGCCCCGAAAGGGCGGTTCTATCCGTGGGAGTCTTCACCTGTCCAGACGCCCTTGGACCTTGACATGGAGGGGTCTGGCGTCTCAAATCCGGTTTTGAGGGACCAAGGCGTGGTGAAAGTGAGGGCTTTCCTTGTCGAAGCCTTCCCTTTTCGGGTTCCATGATCCCATGGACTTTTTGGGTTCGGGGTTTTTGGTGCATCGCATGGAATGATCCATGCGCATCTTTGGGCCCGTAGGACCTTGGTTCAGAACTCTGTCTTGGTTCAAAACAACTCACACTCCCCAACTTCTGGTGGCAATCTCCCATCTTCCGCCTTTTTCGTCAGCTTGACTCGACCCTCATACCAAAGAGAGGTTAAGTATGTTAAGTGACCTGAACTAGGACCTCTCACCCGGGGTACCGAACTGGGATAGGCGACTTCATTCGGGTCCTGAAAAACCTCTGTTAAGTATTTTGGGCCCCACGGGGCGGGGCTCCTTCCGACCCAGGGGACCTCGTCCCCGACCGCCGGTCCCGCCCGGTCACGGCCAGGGCAACGGGTGGCGCCGCCGCCGTTCAACGACCGCTGCGTGGCGGTCAGCGGACGCTGCGGCAGCGCGTGCAGCGGCGCGGCGCAGCACCTGGACAGGTACCACGGGAAACGGCCGGCGCGGGGGGGTTGGGTGGTAGGTGGGGGGGGGGGGGGGGGGGGGGTGGGTGGATTCTGAAAAGAGTTTTTGGGCCTGGGGAGATGCTTTTGGAGGATGAAATCCAGATCTAGCGTGTAGAATTTGGAGATCTATTAAGTTTGAAGATGTAGTATATGGATGAGGGTTGTTTTGGATGTTCTTGGATTAAATGGTTGCTTTCGGGGGGTGAAGGCGGAGAAAGAGATACAGATCAGTTGATCTATGTTGATCTAGCCCATATCAGTTTTAACTAGCAAAATGGAGATTGGGGAGTACTGGAGAATTTCCAGATAGGTGGCTCTAAAACGCAGGCTAAGAATTGCAGCGGCCTTCGAACGAATCGTTAAACCGCCATCGTCCCCAGGTGCACAGCTGATGGCTACATCGAGCAGTCGGCCTTGGTGGGAAAGATCTTGCCGCCGCTCGGCCGCGGAAGGTTTCTCGATCGACGGAGATAGGATGTTCAGTGACGTTGCCGCGAGAGAGGTCCAAATAGGCAGGTGGGTGGAAGGATCGTGGAATGGTGCTGGAACTGAAAGGGGAGAACAGGTGAGAAGGGGTCTTTCTTAAACCTTTCGAAAGTGACATGTGCTTTGATCAGAAGGGGGGCGAATCCCAAAGCCACTCTCACATATACCTCCATTGCTTGGTGGGTCCATGTCTTGATGGAACTACAATCCACAATTTATATACTATATAAGTTGATTTAAAAAGCTTCTTGTTTCTAGTAGCTTCTTGTTCCTAGTAATACGGCCAGGAGCCCCTAGTAGCGTCCTTGCTCCTAGTATATTAGATTATTCGTTGGGAGTAGACCCAACAGTTGGCCGAGGCGGAGTACATCGTAGGTAAGGGTCCAGGAGCATCCGAATCGGACGTCCTTTCGCCCCTGTTGGACCATTCTCAGGAAGTACGTACTCACCTCCAAGACCATCCTCAAAAGTTTACCTGGACCCGATGGGGTACATATTCCATACATGGAGTGTTTAGGTCATAGATCTCCCATATTGAATCCCTGCACCTTGGACTCTCTACGCCGTTTCTCTTAACAGTCCGAGTTGGCATGGATTCCACATGGCTCGGTCTGTGGCGGCCGTATGCCGTCGTGGAGACGTTGCCTCCCCGAATTCGCACGGAGTGCACGGACCCAGCGACAGCGACGCTCCGGGCTCTTGAAAGGCAGAAGAACGAGTCCATCTCGGTGTGGCTCTTCGTGTTCCTGCTCCTGTTGCTTGAATGCAACGAGGAGACAGGGCAGGAGTTCCGGAGTCCTGTTACAGGAGTCCTGTCATATGGGGACGAGTCCAGGGAGAGGAGGATACGTCCTTTTTTTGTTGTGTGTGCATGTGTTTGGGCCCGCAGTGACACTGGCCATCCATTGAGACGTTGAAATACTGTCAAGGTCGCATAAATCAGCCGTCGCGAATGACAGTTCATTATGCCTGAGATATATTCAAGACATTAAATGAACTAGGTGTGTAATTCTTTACGCTTCCACTGAAGTGTTCCAGTCAGGGCGCAAACAATGGCCAGCAAGGACACCAGCGTGATTTAGCAGAAAACATCAGAAAACCTCCCTCCGGAAGAGTTATCGTCAACAAGAGGTGCTGGAAGGCAGGTGCTGGAACACCCATGCTTACGCCAAATGAACAGAGGTTGACAGGAATAAACAGCAAGAAGTCAAGAAGGATTATAGAGGTCCCCAAATAGATATATAACTGTAGAATCAATTTCCAACACATCATTGAAACGGGATTTTAACATGATTATACTTTTCTATCTATTTGGGGGCCGCGGAAAAAGAACAATGGAATGGTCAACGACCATGTCCAACTCTTCTGGGGGCAGTCCGAACAGATCTTGCATATCCGCGAAACGTGTATTTCAGTGCCGCTGATTGCATCTCCGCGGTCCGCGGTAGAGAGAATGACCTCTGCATGGTGACGCGACGCCTCTGACCTCTTGATGAAACAGGTTCAGGACGCATCATGCAAACAAAAGACACCATGCAACGACCGGCTTAGAAGTGAAGAAGAATCCCACACGAGTGGATTGGGTAGCCCCACCCCTTTAGGAGGTAGACGAACCTCCACCATCACTGCGCTCCCCCAGAGGCGCTCTCTCTCTCTCTCTCCTTGCTGCGCTCGGTCTGAGGCTCGGATTCGCGGTGAAGGTGGCCGTGCTGTGCCCGGGCATCTTCCGGTCCTATCCGCACTACCGCAGGCGCGGGGAAGGACCGGAAGTTCAACGCTATGCTATGGGGAGTGGGAAGTGGGTGGTGAGTCATGCTCAGTTTTTTTCGAGTTGGAGGATTTGGTGCGAGTGAAGCAACTTGAAGCGCTTTTTGCGCAAGGCTTTGGATCCGATGTTTTGACTCCCAAACAGGGCAACCGCTGCAGAAACCCTGTTCAGAGATGTGAACACTACTATATAAATCGAACACCCAACGCTCCCTTTTCACCACAGACCCTCACTAGAAGACGATTTTCAATATGAGGACAGCGAAGATCCCTGGTCCCTGGTTTCTCCCAAAGGGTTTTTGATGGTTTTTGGTTCGTTTTGCTTGGGGGTGTCCCATTTGCTATAGTCGGTAAACGGTCTTATCACTAGTTTAGAGATGTCGACCTGCAACTGAACCATCATCCCACTGCGCCCAGGGAATGGGAGATATATGATATTCCCAACGTGATATTCCCAACGTTTCCCTGTCTTGGATTCAATGGAAAATCCCAAGCGCTCGCCACGTTGGCCAGCCCACTCCACATGGACGTCGGATTAAAAGAGCTGGGTGAGCACCAGTTCTGGGTGTGTCAACCACTTGTTCACTTACACAAGTGGGATTTAAGTTGATTTATATGGAACATGCTACAACCACTTGTTCACTTACACAAGTGGGATTTAAGTTGATTTATATGGAACATGCTACAACCACTTGTTCACTTACACAAGTGGGATTTAAGTGGATTTATGATTTATATATGGATTATAATTTTGCCCGAAGTGGACTTTAGATGGAACATGATGGACCATTTTCCTTCGTCCTTCTTGGCCAGGTATATCCCGGACCTCACCGAGGAGCTCCGTCCGGAGCCCCGAGTGAAACCGCCCAACCGACGCTAAGAAGTGAAGGAGGTGCAGTCCTTGCCCAGGCCATCCATGGGTTGGGGTAAATCCATGTGGGTATATAAATGGAACTATTCCGGTCTCATGGATGGTTAGGGTATGTTTGGGCTAGGTCCTTCATAGGGAGCAGCAGTACTAGGGGGAGCTGCGCATACGTGGAGCATTTGGTGCAGTTCCTGATGTTCGATCTGTTCGTGAAGAAGAGGCTTTTAGAAGATCTTTTTCGTGTGTGAGAACAGAGGGAGCTACTTATAGTATCTTATAGTTTGGAGGTCTTTTGGGTTGGACAAGACATATTGAATCTATCTCCAAGACAGTAGGCATGCCCAATTCATTGGTCTCAATGTTGGGACGAACTTTTTGAGAGTCCTTTCATGGCTTCGTAGCATTGCCAAGCAAGGATGTGTATTATTGGGACCATCGATATATGCACAAGGAAGATCAGTACATACCTACAACAACTCATCCCATCGGTTCAAGAGAAAGACCAGTTGATAGCATCCAACAGGGACTCAGCATGAATCAATGCTGTCAACGTACCTCACTTTATCTCACTTTCTCAGTCAGTGCAGTGCGAAATATGTCTTGAAGACCCCAAACGGACCTTGGCCATGCTGATCATCCACGGCCATGGCGTTCCCCTCCACCTTCAGGGCAACGTTCCGACCATCGGGCCATCCCACCGGCGTGGCATCCGCGTCCCGGGCACCGGCGCTTTCCGGCGCCCACGCCGCGACCGGAGCGCCGCTGGGGCGGGCCGTGGGGACCGCCCTGGGGTGTCGGGCATGGGGATGGCGGAGGGGGAGGCCGAAGACCACCCAGCGCTGTTGGCCGGTGGTGTTCAGTGCAGCGGAGCCTGAGTTCCAGGAGTTCTTGGCAGAGGGACCGATGGAGAATGCATATGCGAATTGTCCCTTGCGTGAGATGAGCCATCAGACGAGACGCAGGTTGTATGTGGATTGGGTCAGGAAGATTCTTCAAGATATGTACCCACGATCGAAGTTCGTGGATCGAGAGCCTTCCAGTCGACGTGGAGAGGGAAGCGATGATGCGGGAGGGCCAGGGTATGATTTCATGAGGGATGGCCGAAAAGTGAAAGTTCATGGTACTCTCATTGCGAGCAAGGAGTGCAGCAAAAACATAATATGTTGGGAAGCTTGTTTTCGCAATATTATGCTCCCGTTGGGCCATCGAACGCATGCTCCCTTCGATGACCTGTACCTTGTTCTAGCCTCTCCCGATGGTTTGATGCTGATAAAGCATGATCTTTGTACTGGAAAGCGTTCAGATGGAAAGCGTACTGAAGCTTTGGGTTGGCAGATTGCAGTGCGTGGAAGCCGCAGTTATACGTCCTGGCAAGATGCCTGGCATACCATACGAGCGAAGTTTTGCCAGAAAGGCAGTTGCGAGCTACTAGGCCATGACTCCTTTCAGGATGCAGTTCTGAAAGATCTTGTCGTGCAATACCACAATGGCTCATCACAGATCGTCGCTGGGAAGCCTCCTTTGTGGGACATGAGCCCCGCAAAGAGAGCATTGCGAATACAAAATATTGCACGTGCCATTGATAAGAAGTTGAATCCGGGAAGTCAGTTCACGCCTCACAGCAATCAGGCAAAGGTGAGCTGGGTCAGAGATAAGTCGTCTGTAATGGTAAAGTCTGCCAAACTAAGCTTAGCGGGCAATTATTGCAATTGGATAAATATTCACTCGAATTCTTTGGATGATGATGTTGAGCTTTGGCTTGCAATTTACAGTCAGCTGGGCATCCATATCTACATGTGCAGCTCTGTTGATGACTTGCATTTGGTGCATCAGAAGCACGGTGGCCTTGCCCTTAAGATAAGATCAAAAGGGGCCGGCGACAACAGCATACAGAAAGCGCTGCAATCAGTGGAAGCAGAACTGCTGGCACGAGGATGCAGTCGACTTTCTATGGTGAAATGGGTTTCTTTGCTGCATTTGCTGCGCTTTGTTTTGTAATTGTCAATGGTGCACTACAATTTTAGAGATGCGGTTCACTCATACTTCTTTTCTGTGTTGGTCGCAGAGCATTTTGAGATCATACAAAGGTTGACTTGTACTGAACAAATACGCAGACTTGGTTGTGGAACGTTCACATAAGGTCTCACAGAGAAAAGGGTTTGGCTGCCCGCCTCGCAAGACACTTCCGTGACCGAAAGCCAAAACAGAACATCTCACAATTCTTTTTGGATTCCCAAGTTGTTCATTCTGATCCAGCTACTGAGTTTGTTCTATCTTCTTGGCCTTCTCTTTTGTCTGTGGGGTCGCCATGTTCATTCTTTTTGGCTCAGCCAAGGAGACGTGACCATCCCGCCTCCGCGTCGGGCCTCCTCGGCCGCTTCGCAGCTCTCTTTTCCCTTTTTTTCCGCCGGTCGCGTCGCGTCGCTCTCGACGCCGGCGACGCCGGGTGCAGCAGCTGCACCGCATCGCCGCGCGCCGCGGTCCAAAAAGAGCTCCGCGGTGCATGGCGTCCAGCGTCTTTGGCGTTGAGAGGACGGCAGGTTCTGCTGGACACCTTCGGACACCTTGAGACCTGAGTTCTGGGGGGTTTTTGGGTGTTTTGTTGCTGCGCACGATGTGGAGGATCGCCGGGAGACAACACCAAACGTATCCAGTCCAGGTATGTATACCCAGACTGCGTCAGGGGTGGTCCAAAGAAGACACGCGCACGTGTAGCAAGAACCTCTTGGGTGCTAATTGAAACACGTTTGATCCTTCGACCAAACCTTTCAGCGCTTGGGAAAATAGCAACTCACAAAGGCTACAAGTTCGGAATGGACACCATCTTGTCCCGTTTTGGGCGAAGCCAACGTCCATTTTCCAGCGAACACCCTCTTGACGGAGGGGTCTTTGGAGCCCGAAGATCGACTTCATCGTAGTTCAGCCGCCTTTCTAGGCCTGTGAGCCTCCTCTGAGTATATACCAAGGCCCCTTACAGTAAGGGGTGTTCAATTCTAGCTCCTGATCGAGGTGATTCGGGTCCATGAAAACCACCCCAAACAGGGGCCCAGGGCGAGCGGCCCATGGTATCTATTTATGTTGGGCCGACCGTGATATGATGTGTGTGATATGTCCTTCCCACCGTGGCATTCACCGGACCTGGCACCCCAAGAGAGGTTGAGTGACCTGAACTAGGACCTTACTGGGGTACCGAACTGGGATAGGCTAGTTCGGGTCCTTCAACCTCTGTTGGCCGGAACCTTCGTCGACCGTCCTTCGTCCTTCAGGCTTCATCGTGGTGTGCGTCACCAGCAACGACGAGAGCCGAGCGCTGGCGCTGCGGAGCTTGATCGGTGCGGATCCACCGGTCCCGTCGTCGGGAGACCGGTGCGTCCTTTCGTTCGGGTCCGGGTGTTTTTCGTTCGGGTGGAAGTGACCCCCAAAAAAGAGGGTGAGTGAGGGCAGAAAAGGTTCTTCTTCTTTTGGTGTGGGGTCCAAAAGGACTAGTCCCTTGAGCGGTTTTTGAATAGTTGAATAGTTCATTCTTCGATTTTTGTTGATACAATTGCTGTTCCTTTTGGTTCAGTGGTGGGTTAACAATGGTCCTGGCATTTTAAACCACCGCCAGGGATGACATTCGTGGAATACATCTGGGTAACTGCAGATTGGGGATCGCAGTGCCAGGAAAAAATTAGCAAACATTTATAGTGTTTGCATGTACAGCCCATAAATACTCCGCTAGAGTACTGTAGACACGTGACTTATGATGTGTTTTGGCTCAAGGTGAAAAGGCGTTCCGCAACGTCGAAACCTCGTTTTCATGGTAGCGCACGAGTCCGGTGAAAGTGACAGGGACAAAGCGCTGCGCATAAAGGAAGAAAGACACAGTAAAGTCGAGAGCTCCGAGGAGGAGGAGCTGGGGTCCTCGGGAGCGGCAGCTTCTGCCGCCCCGAGTGGAAAAGGAGAAGGAAGTAAAGAAAAAGAGGAGGAGGAGAAAGAGCCTTTGCCAGCCACATCAGCGGCGGATTCAGCCGCAGGCACCACTCCAGCGGTTGAGAAGACCGCCGAAACAACTTCAGCGGTTGAGAAGACCGCCGAAACAACTTCAGCGGCTGAGAAGACCGCAGAAACAAAAGAAGAAGAGGAAAACACAAAAGGGACAGAAGGCCCAGGAGAAGAAGAAGAGCCTGAACAAGATCCAACAGTTGAGCCAGGGGCTGAAGCGGCTGATCCAGCCGCACAGCCGTCATCTGGCCGAGTTATCGCCGACTTCATCACATCCCCAGAGGGTATCAAAACAGGTTGGGAAGTTCGTGGCATTCACGCCAAATATACCCCAGCCAAAGTCGACCCCAAAGCACCTTGGAGGAAGCAGGTGAAGAAACAGATTTGGGGCCAAGTCAAGAAGCACCCAGAACCACAGTCCGGATTCCGACTTCGAAGCAAGGTTTCGCTTCAGTATCGGAAGCTCAAGGACCTGGTCAGGTTGCAAAAGAAGCAGGGTGTTATCACAGAAGACTTGAGGAGGCGCATCAAGGACTTTGGCAAGGAGCGCCCGCCGCAAGAGATCAAAGAAGAGCGGGAAGAACAGAAGGTCCGCAATCAGGAGAAGCGGATCAAGAAGAGGAAGACCTCAGAGAAGAGCGAAGCGGCTGATTCAGCCGAGGAGGAGGTCGAAGAGGAAGAGTCGTTGAGCCTACCGAGTCCGGTTCCGCAGCCCCGAACACCGGACGGGCCACCGCCAGCCAAGCGACCGCAAGCCCGAGACACCGAACAGGGACGGGCGGTCTGGGGGCGTGCGCTGGAGCTGAACCTCCGCATTGTCACCCTAGCCAACGAGCGGGCCCAGCGATTGCCGATTGAAAATTGGAAATTGGAGAGCCCATTCCAAGTGCGAAAGATTGCGGCCGACGAACTTGTTGAGCAGCGAGGCCTTAAAGGTACCGTTGCATTGGCCGCCATTCGCGAACTCTGGAAGACCCCCAACGACCAAGGAAAGAGAGGATCCAACGAGGCCTGTAGTAGTTGCGACGAACGAAGACAGGCACAGTTGCCTGTGGTTCAGGACTACATCAAGCGACGGGGACTTAAGGGCCCTGCTCGGCTTGGATCGAGCGCCAAGGCAAAGGCGGCGCCAAAGGTGAACTTGGCACCAAGAGCAAAAGAGAAGAAAGCAAAGGCCACACCGACAGTTGGCCGCAATCCGGAAGAGCTGACACGGACCACCATCGAGGTCCGTGGAGTGCCAAAAGCTTCCAAACCTTCTCAAGGGTGAAAGCCCTTGGACCGGCCTGGTAAGGGGCCGGAGATCGGACGAATCGTCCGCAGCTGAAAAGGTGCGAGAGCAGCGCCGACAGGGGTTGAGAGTGGGAAACCATGGCTTTGGAGCAACAGGTCCAACAGTTGTCTGATATGGTTTTGCAACTCCAGCAAAACCAGGCACGTTTGGAACAAGAGAACCAGGTATTGAGAGAATCCCAAGGTGGGGTATCGATGTTGGCTTCAGCTGTAGGAGAACTGGCTAAGAGCCTTGAGAAAAAGGAAGATAGACGAAATTCCCAAATACTTATGGACACCAAAGGTTTGGGCCGTCCTGAGAGTTTTGGGAACGTTGAAGGGGAATTCCGAAAGTAGACTAGGAGCATCGATAACCTGTTCATGTCCACTTTTGGGAGAGAGTTCATTGAAGTTCTTGAGTATATTTTGGAGCAGGAAGGCGCGATTGAAATGAGTGCTATAGAGTCCGCGTTTGGGACTGGTACCATAGCAGCCATCGATGATCTAGAGGATAAAGCTGATCAAATTCATCGCGTCCTCCTGACCCTGACCTCAGGTGAAACAGAGGATTTGATGGTAGGAGCTTCAAATGGATTTGAAGCATATCGACGGGTTCACCGTCGTTCGGATCCCCGAACCTCGGGACGGAAACGCAATATACTTCGAGCAATTCTCCAACCTGAACGAGTCAAAACGTGGTCCGCGGTGAGGCCAGCGATCGAACAGCTCGAAGAACTCATCAGGCGGTACGAGTCCCGGAGGCGTGCCGCAGGAATAAGGGAGACTCTATCGGACGACATCAAGTCCGCTTCATTGGAGATGTTGGTACCCCCAGATTTGGAGAAACATCTTTTGTTGAACAAGAGTAGATTGACAACCTATTCATTGATCAAACAGGAGATTGAACTTGTCATTGAATCATCTTTCACATCAAAGTCATCTGTTCCAAAACCAGGTTCATCGAGTTCTAGTTATCAAGGACCTCAACCCATGGACGTCGATTCGATCGGACAATGGATTGCAAGCCTAGTCAAAGGAAAAGGTAAAGGTAAACAGGCCAAAGGCGATGGAAAGAAAGGCTCAAGTAAAGGAGGCCCAAGTAAAGGCTCAAACGCGGCTCAAGATATCACCTGCTACAATTGCGGTAAGAAGGGACACAGAGCGGCCGATTGCTGGAGCAAGAAACGGCCGGATGGAAAAGGCGATAAATGGTCAGGTCCAGGCAAAGGAGATAGGAGTGGCAAAGGTGGCAAAGGCAGCAAAGGCAAAGGTGGAAAAGGCGGCAAAGGTAAAGCCGCAGGAGGTATGGAAGAGATGGACGATCCGGACGATGGCATCGAGCCAGCTCCGGAAGCTGATGTCGGAATGCTCATGGCAGACTTGAGTGGAATTGGAATAGCGGAAACTTCATCCGCCGAAGAATGGATGAAGTTTAACCTGGACACTGGAGCAGCCCAGACAGCCATCCCGAATGGCTGGGAGGACCGAGTGGTTGTCAGTGAAGGCAACGGGGTTGTTTTCAAGACTGCATCAGGAGAGTTGGTGCCCAGTCAGGGCATTGGAACCTTTGAAGGGTTCGAAATGCCGTGTGAAAGGCTCAATGGCCGATGTTCACAAGCCATTGATTTCAGCATCCAAGTGCTTAGGCTTTGGAAGGATTGCAGTTCTTGATGTGAATGGCGGAAACTTGATTCCGCAAGGGTCCAAAGTTGGAAAGGCTGTTCAGGCGATCCTGGAGAAAGCGAGCACTGCAGAGCAGCGGAATTGGATCCCTGTGTATCAAGAGCAGGGAGTGTACAATTTCTACTTGAGAAAGCCAGGGTATAAACCGACCAAGGAATGCTGTGGCATTGCAGAGTTGAACGCCGCAGGAGAAAGAGGAGATGCCTCTATGGATTCAGGCCGACCGAGTTGGAATTAGTTGATGAGGTTGAGAAACCCATCCAGATAAGAGCGCCGGAGGATCCGACTCCGGCTGAGATCGAAGAGCACGAGGCGACAGGCCATGTGCAGTATCGAAATTGGTGCCGGCATTGCATTGCCGGACGGGCTGTAGGACAGCCGCATCGGACGAGGTCCGAGGAGCAGAAGGCAAAGAGCCTTGTGCCCACAGTGGCAATGGACTACACGTTCATGTCACGGGGCGGTGTGGAGGACGAGCGAGTAAAGCCGATCCTCGTGGTGAAAGATGAGAGGACACAGTCCTTATAGCGGCGACCTTCG